TTTATATATTTGAGAGGAAGGGATTTTTAATTTCGTTCTAAGTGTAAAAAAGAGAAAATCTGACATTTATCTATAACAAAAATTTAAATATATATGTATATATTATGGGTGTGTCGAAACGTCAGAGTAACGCATGAAATACTATTATAACTATTTAGTATTTATTTGACCACCGACCACTTCTCATAGTAGATACATACTTGGTTTTTTTTTAATGACTCCTTAAAGTTTGACTGGGACTGGAGCAAAAATTACAAATTTATAAAATCAGAACTTTTAACAGTTCTTCTAAAAAAAATAGAGATATCTTTTTTACAAGGCCATCAGCCGTTTATTTTATAAATTAAATTAACCAATTATTTTATTTTTTTGTTGTTCTACTATTACAAAAAATTGTTTCCCTTTTGTCCTATTTCTTGAGTATGTTTGTATTAGAAGTGTGTGAATCTAATAATTTAATTACACTCCTGAGTTGATTGTTTGGTTGTTAATATGCGTATTTAATCACTATTTGATTGTATCACGCGGGATTTGAGTGCGCGGTATTTATCACTAATAATGTTATCTAACAGCATTAATTCCTCTTTTTTTTTATACCATACAAATTTCTATCCCGTAATAATTTGATAATTGTCTAATTATAATCGCTATTTAACTCCTCCCTTGAAATCACAACGTAGTTAATAACACGCGAGCCAATAATGGCTTTTATTTATTGTTACATTCCGCATCTACCAGAGCGGGTCACCACTTAACTCATACTACTCAGTCTAGAAATGTACTATTACAAATTAATATTACTTAATTGTTGATATCTATGAAGTTCATAAGCAAAAAAATTGATTCTTTTATCTTTAAAAAAATTATTTATTGGAAGAAATAGAATGTTTTGTTAACGTTCAGTAGTGAGAGGGGTCAGCTCAGTATAGGGTAGAGGGATAGGGCGCTGACTTCCAAAACTTAAAGGCCGGATTCGAATGCAGCTGATGGTAGGTAATTATTTATTGTTACTTCTTCTGTGGATCGACCCTGGGTTAGGAAGACCCCTTCTGGGAAACACCCAGCCACTACCTATTGAATATACTTAATTAATTAAGGGAGAAACCTAGAGGTTAAATCTGATCTCTATCAAACCGTAGCCATTGTCCAAGAAATGATACTTCCTTATGAACTGCTGGACCCAAGACGTGTTGTAGTGGCAAAATTTTTTTTTTTTTTTACGTCCAACTGTAAATTATGGTTATTAAAACTTTTGTGATAAACTGAAAAAGCACAATTAGCAATACCATTTTGGGCAGTGTTATTTTAGAATGAAAACATATTAATTTCGTTGCACTAATTTAGGTTGAAAGGATAAATCTGAGTTCCTACATTCCTAGCGTTAAAAAAGGATAGTTTTTTCTGTGAGCTCCCAATGGATGGGCTCTTTTCAGCTAAAATCGGAGTCTTAATTAGTTTTATTTTAATCGGTGCTATCGACTTCCACTCGTTTCACTCACAGAGTATTCGGTCATCTACGTATAATTTCGGTCACTCACGTCCATTTTCAGAATCCCATGTACAAGTGTGATCATTAGATCTTGTACCCACCCATTATGGTGGAACGCACTTGTGAAAAAATATCTCTCATATTCAATTTTTTTTTTTTACATTAAAGTGTAATGTAATGCTGTAATACACTATTTGTTTTCATCTAAGACATAAAAACATTTTAAAAACTCGTTTCTTTCTATGTAATTGAAATATATGCTTATTTTTCGATAGCGGATTTCATCATTCCATGATTCAGTGCCTTTTTTTACTCTTGTTGAAGGACACAAGAAGTAATTTGATGGATATTACGTGTCATTCTGAAGTAAACCTTTTCTTTATGTTTTTATTAAATTCAATTACAAAAATGTTTTCAAATTATTCTCTTTACTGCATAACTAAATATGTTTAGTAATAGGACTATGCTTAGTAACTAAGAAACAAATCTTATTTACTCAAATCTAGGGAAAATTTGCTCTCTGAACAAATGCAGAAATGTGACATGGTGTCCTTTACCTTCGAGTACAAATTTAGTAACTAAAAAAACAAATTTTAATAGCTCAAAGTTATGAAACATTGGCTCCCTTGAAGAAATACAAAAATAGATAGGGTATTTTTTACCTCCAGGCTACAGTATTGTAATACAATAATTACCTTGAGCAAATCGATCGTTTAAATTAACCAATTTGAAACTAGTTTTAAAATTTATTTTTCTATATAGATATTTTTTTTTTTATTTTAATGCTGAAGAATTTTTTTTCAATTTTACTTTTTTGATGGGAGGGATGTAATAATCTCTAAAAACTTTTATTGCATTGATTACAATAACTTCTTGGTATCACTACAATGGTTAATTTTACACTGTTAGATAAGCAATTATATAATACATAAAATATTATCTTTTTTTTTCTTCAAAGCAATATTATTCTATATTTGGGTTTTTTTTTTCAAACTTACTGAATTTAATTCTGTTATATTTCGATGGTTCAATTAATTTTTTTTTTTAATAATTATATATCTTTGGCTAAATAATATTACAATATACAATTAAAATTTCTAATCTTTAAAAATACAATAAAATAAATATTCATCAACGTTTATTAATAGTAGGTTAAGAACTGACAACAATGATCAACATGTTTATTTTCATTGCGCGCATTACAGATGTTCGTAAGTTCTTTCATAATACATATTTTCGGTTTCTTTTAAGTATCCAGGGAATATTCTTTTAAATATTCTACAGATACCACTCTAGTAGTGTCACTCCACTTTCACAAGTGGGCCAAGATCCATAATCACGCTATAAATGGGATTTCGATGATTGGCGTGTCAACAGCATAACCTCCCTTTAAGTAGATCGCGAGTTATGACTTTGGCAAACTCCGTTAATTAGTTTTAATTATATCTTTGCTTTCTAATTCCACTCTAACTACGCTCAAAAGTGATACAAAAAATTTACCAGATGGTTAGGTCACTTCAGTCTACTTTCGGACACTTTTGGCCACTCTCGGGAATCCATTTGTAGTGTGATCATGAGATCTTGTGGCATTCATGAAAATCGAATGACTTTCATATTGTTTATTAAGAAAGAAATATCATTGTATTATAAATATTCTTTAAAAAATCACTTTACAATTCAAATGTTTATTGTGGTGAAGTAGTAATAATTTCTCAAGAAGACTATGCCATGGACTTTCTACAAAGTAAACACGTTATGCATTGATGTGACGTCACTGGCACGAGGAGGGCACTGACTCACCTACGATCAGACCATCAGTGACGTCACTCCCTCCTACTACCGGTTCCTCACCTGATGTTGCTCAGCCCCTCCCCCTTCTCTCTCGTTTCATAGACTTGGTGGCGTGATCCTAATGTAAGGCGCAGTATTTTTATGAGCAAAACAGGTTTTTTAACTTAACATTTTTAATCTCTGTCGATTAAAGACACAACTGTATTACATTTACCTAAAACATTTTAAGTGACCCTTATATTCAAGTAGTTTAGAATGCTACACTGGAAGGTTCATAAAAAATGTATTTGGAAGTTATTAAGCCACTGTTGATAAGTTTAAATTGTTTTCAATTAAAGATAATTTTTAAACATTGGAATAAAACTTCCATAACCACTTTTAATAAAAAATATTATACATTTTTAATTTTTATAAATAAAAAGTACATTTTGGCAATTATGTTTGTTACAATACATCGCAGATCCTGGAACAACAAGAAATAAAGTTTTGCAACAGTTATTATTGCTGAGAACATAAGTACTTTTAGGTGACAAGATAAAAAAAACACTTGATGCAGTCAATTCCATCTTCCCCCTTGTACCTAGGTTTGAAACTTTTTATTTCAAAATTCATAATCTATGAAAATGTGTCCCTCTCAAAAATTTTGATGGCGCAACTTGTGCCATGAAACCCCTTTTTGGGTACCTCTGGTGGTTATCTGTAGTATAGTTGGATGATGATAAAAAAAAATCGGATAATTTATGTTTTTTGTAAAAAAAACAGAACTTTGCTTAGTTTAGCCATTCAGTTCAAAGATCCTCTTTAATTTTTTTTTTTTTTTTTTTTTTGGCGGGTCTAATAATCCTGCAATTAATCACTCTGTCCTACCTTTAAATGATTTTAACAATGACAAACTATATTTTCATTTGAAGTAATGTTCGTCTAGTTTACTGTGAAGCAATTGTTAATTATTTAAATTAATTATTTAATTTTACTATAATTATTTCCTATTCCTTCCTATTTCTTTTTTTCTTTATATATTTTTTATATCTTTTTTTCTATTTCTTTATATCTTTTTTCCTATTCCTTCCTATTTCCTGTAAGTTATCTCTTCCTATTCAAAGAAAAACATGATTTACTAAAAAAAATCACAAAACTTCAATTTCCTACTTATGTGCTGAAAATTGGCCCATTGTTTATATGAACTTTTTTGTAGTTGTAGATATATCTTCAGAATATTAATAATTGAGATTTTTGACTAAATTTTCCAGAGTTTTTAATTAATAAAATCTTGAGTCCTGAAGAACTTTAAAAAGTTTTAAAAAAAAGTGGACTGCAGATAAGGCAAAATTACTAGTTTCAATTCCTTAATAATTCTTGGAACATTTTAAATATAACAGTTAATTATGATAATTAAAATAGTACAAGAATAAAATATGATAGTCAGAAAGTTAGAAGTTTTTATTTGATAGATACCTTATTGTCCCTTTTCAGAATTTGTTTTTAAATTTAAAAACATATATGCTTTAAGAAGGAACTAGATAAAAATAAAACAAAATTAATGAAGGTTGGGTTAATAATCATTAAAATGTAAATTTGTTTTTAAATTGATAAACAGGAGCTTCCAAACTGCCTTGATATTATTAATTTAAGATTTTGTTCTGCATTTTTAATATTCTATTGCTTTAACTGATATAGAATTTTAAATATCATGTATATTAAGTTGTTTTTTTTCTTGCAGGCTAAAGTTATTGCAAAGGATGAAAAATCAATTACATACCGCTCAGTGGATTCTCCCAAGGAGGTCCATATCGATATGGTCAAGCACAATATTGACACAATGGAAAAAGTACTTAATTATACAGTTAAACAATATAAAGAAAATAAATGTCTGGGTACCAGGGATATCTTAGCAGAAGAGGATGAAGTACAAGAAAATGGAAGAGTTTTCAAAAAAGTTAGTAATTAATGATGAATTAAATCTGTATTTGAGCTATTTATTATAATGTTTGCTAATATTTCTAATAATTACACTTTTATATCCATTTCAGTATGTGATGGGAGATTACAAGTGGAGAACCTTCAAAGAAGTGAATGAAGAAGCTGCTGCTTTTGGGCGTGGGCTAAGACTTCTTGGTCATCAACCAAAGGAAAATGTCATTATTTTTGGAGAAACTAGAGCTGAGTGGATGGTTGCTGCTCAGGGCTGCTTCAAGCAGAATTTTCCTAGTAAGTTTAAATGAGTAAATTAATTTGTAATTGTTGATGTAAAACTTTGGATTCTATATTTATTATTCAATGTGGAGTTTCACCAATATTATTAAATGTAAGTTCACTTAATTTTGTAAATAATTGGGTCGACAAAATAAGAGAAACAATTATTATATCAAACTATTTTTCAAATTTAATACCAATTATTGTCCAACAAATGCTCTTGTTAATTTTTTGTCTGTTAAATTTTTTATATAATATTGTATTCGTTAGTTATAAAATTATAATTATTGTTTATCTATAATGAGCCAATCATGGTTTTTCTTTAGATCTGAATTTAAGAAAGTTTTTTTATCTAGATAATTATGTTAAGTTAGCATTTGTATTTTGTTACAGTTGTTACTCTCTATTCAACTCTCGGCGAAGAGGCTATAGCACATGGCATAAATGAGACTGAAGGAACAATAATTATAACAACACATGATCTATTACCAAAATTCAGAAACATTCTCTATAAAACACCTTCCATTAAAAAAATAATCTATATGGAAGACCAATTGAAAAAAACTGATATCACAGGATTTAAAGATGGTGTGGAAATATATGCTTATAAAACTATTGTTAGCAATGGTCGATCTTCTAATATAGGTAGGTATTTATTTTTATTTTTTGTTTAAAAGTGACTTTTAGTTTCTATCATATATATATATATATATATATATATATATATATATATATATATATATATATATATATACTCTTATAAGTCCAGATTTTATTTATGATTATTTTTTTTAATAGAATGTACACCTCCAACCAAGGATGATATAGCTATTATTATGTACACATCTGGTTCAACTGGTGTACCTAAAGGTGTTTTGCTCACGCATAATAATATGATTGCAACTCTCAAAGGATTTACTGATAGTGTAGCAATTTATCCCAATGACATACTGCTTGGTTTTCTACCTCTGGCTCATGTTTTTGAACTATTGTCAGGTAAATATAATACATAAGAAAATTAAACATCTCTTAATTAATGATTCCTCTGTTCAAAACATGATTTTTCATTGATTTGGAAAAGAGTAAAATATTTTTATCTTGTATTTAATTTTTTTTTTTTTTTTTTTTTAATAGAGTCAGTCTGCTTTATGAGAGGAACGCCTATTGGTTATTCTTCAGCTCTAACACTGATTGATACCTCAAGTAAAATAAAGCATGGTGCAAAAGGTGATGCCCCAATGCTTCGTCCAACTTGTCTAACAGCTGTACCGGTTGGTATTCAAAGAACTAAATAAATTATTTAAATATCTCATATGAATTATATGTTTATTCAATGTTGAAAATTTTTATTGTAGCTTATCTTGGATAGAATTTATAAGGGAATCAATGACAAAGTAGCTAAAAATACTCCTTTTAAGAGAGCACTATTCAATTTCGCCTTTGCTTACAAAAAGAAGTGGATGAGGAGAGGTTTCTCATGCCCTATTATTGATAAGTAAGTTTAGTTTTCATCAATTCACTTTTGGTACCATTTCTATAGTCAAAATTGTTTTATTTTGGATACTTCTCTTACTATTTTTACAGATCATAATGCATTTACAAATTTAAATTTTTTTTTTAACTACTACTTTGAAATTATTATTATGTAATTATTACTTTATTTATAGGATCATTTTTGGGCAAACAAAGAAGTTACTAGGTGGAAGGTTAAGAGCTATATTGGCTGGAGGGGCACCCTTATCACCAGATACTCATGATCTCATCAGAATATGCTTATGTGACACTGTTACGCAAGGTTATGGTCTCACTGAATCTTCTTCATCCGCTACTGTTATGGATAGTGAGTATTATTTTGCATTTTATTTAAACATATTTTATTGTTTTCTGTAGCATTAAAAATAATTAAATTTAACACAACTTAATTTGTTTCCATTCCAATTTCTAGGGTATGACAGATCAACTGGTCGTGTAGGAGCACCAACCACTGGTTGTGATGTCAGGTTGGTAGATTGGGATGAGGGTAATTACAGAATCACCGATAAGCCTTTCCCGAGAGGAGAAATTATCTTAGGTATGATCTAACAAAACAAAAAAATTTATAATTCGATCTAGATTTGTGAAATCAATATTAATATTACTCTGCTTATAAAATAATTAAAATTATTTTCTTTTTTGTTTAGGTGGTGATAACATTTCTCCTGGATATTTTAAGAACCCTGAAAAAACAAAAGAAGACTTTTTTAATGAAGATGGTAGAAGGTGGTTCAGAACAGGAGATATTGGTGAAGTCCAAGAAGATGGTTCCATAAAAATCATAGGTAAATTTATTAATTACTTTTAATCATAATGAAGGTTAAAGAGATGGATGGGACAGTTTTCTCTTTTGTTTTATTGTTTTAAAATATAAGTTTTCGAAAATGTTCATTTAAAAATTTTTGAAAAAATATAAAAACATAAAATTTATTATTTTAGCTTTTTTAGATCAATTTTTTTTTTTAACCTTCGATTTCCAATAATTAGTACTATTTTTTTTTTTTTTTTATGCCTTGTTTACAAAACTTTTTAATTTTATTTCAGACCGTAAAAAGGATCTTGTAAAACTGCAGGCTGGAGAATATGTTTCGCTCGGTAAAGTTGAATCTCAATTGAAGACTTGCCCAATTGTTGAAAATATTTGTGTTTATGGAGATTCGCATAAGGATTATACCGTTGCCCTTGTTGTACCATCACAGCCCCAACTTGAAGTTATAGCTAAACGGTTAGGTCTTATGAGTCTTGATTTTGATGAGCTATGTGTAGATCCTAGGGTTGAGAAGGAAGTTCTTCTTCAGCTCATAGATCATGGCAAGAAATGTATGTTTATTTTTTATTATTTTTTTAATTCTAACTTGGTTACTATTTAGATAAACATATATATATATATATATAAACACTATTTGAAGAAAAAAAACAGAGTGTTATTTAATTATAAATAATTCTAAAATCCAAACATGTTTCTTATTTGAATCAAACTAATAAAATAGAAAAATTGTAATTTAACTCAGTGTCCAAAATGTTTTACTGGATGATTTAATATATTTTTTTGGTCATTAAATATAATTTTTTTATGATTACATATATCATAAATGGATTTAATTAGGTTTCATTGTTTGTTTATAATATGCTTTTTGCTATTTAGTTTTTCATTAATTATATAAAACAGTCAGCTGGTCTTGAAATAGTTCATTATTTATTGCATATGAGAATATCCTAAAATTATTCACTTATTTTTATTTAATGACATTTTAAAAAAATATTTTTAAAGTAATATAACATGTTTTCAATTTTGTTATATTAATTTAATATACATTAATGATTTTAAATTAATTTGTAAGTGTAAGGTCGTACTTCGTCCGCTCCGAATTTCTATGCCCCGATCCGCCTTTAGCCTAAAAACACGTACTCACTTGTACAGTCTGACTCCGCTCCAGCCTTTTGTAAAAGTAAATATGACTAAATAGGTAGTGAGTCCGTGCATTAGGCCGCACAGTAGTCCCAAACAGTTTGTTAATTATTAAATTTTAGAAGCCGTTAACAACATTTACCCATTATAAAACAATTAATAAGTCACATTTAATTTTATGTTCAAATGTTATTTATGATTGATGAATAAATAGATATTCGTTACTTAAATAATGTAGCGTATTTAGTAGTGATAGTAAGCGAAAAAATAATGAAATCCAATGAAAAATGACGGAGTTTAGGATTTTAAACAGAAATGTCGAGAATTGGAATTCCATAAAGCTATCGCTTCAGTCTGTATTTATAGTAATAAGGTGGAATCTTCATAGGTTCGGAAAGTGGGGAGCGGTCTAGTGAATGGATTTCCTACCTATTCAGTCAAAAGTTACTTTTTTAAGTCGAGCTGAGGCCGGCCCGGAATGGACAATTGAACTCCATGCTTAAGCCAATGCAATTACTTTTGCATGACCCGTTGAAAGTACCACCTTTTACTTATTAAAATTGGTTGGAAATTCTTCAGTATCCATTTGACCGATCCGTCACCATTTATCTCTCTTTTTTATGACTTTACGACTGTTTATTGACTAAACATCTGATTGGTTAATACTAAATATACAATAAGTCTAATCAGTTTTCTTTTTCTTTTTTTAAAAATATATTATGGTATAATTTATTCCTTGCTGACTACAAGTTATTATAAAGAAGCAATTTAAAAATTCACTGAAAGAACTGTATTATTTATTTGTATATTTTGTTCAAACAATGGATATATATTATATCGATTTAAGCTTCATTAATGTTATCATGAAAAATTGGCATCATTGTTGAATTAAATTTTAGTACTATTGTAATTAGCATATCCTTAGGATTTAGTTTTAATACATCAAAATTATAATTTTTCTTTCAAGTTTAATTTTTATGTTATAATTTTTTTTTCAGGCAAATTAGAAAAATTTGAAATTCCTGGAGCAGTTAAGCTTTGCTCCGAAGTCTGGTCACCAGATATGGGTTTGGTAACAGCAGCTTTCAAGTTGAAGAGGAAGGATATTCAGGCTAGGTACCAGCACGAGATAAATAGAATGTATGCTTCATGATGACAGGACGAACACTGGGTTCTCCCGAGGCACAGACATCACATGTAGTCGAGATAAATTCATCTGCCTTGAAGTGGGGAGAGAGCCCTAGTGTATTTGAACACTTTGTGGAACTTGATCATTTACTGGTCCTCGTGTATTGATAGTAAAATATGCCCAGATCAGTGATATTGAATCTAGAGAATATCAGAAGTCTTAAGTTCTTTCCTTGTATATATTTGTTAGTATTTGTACAAATTAAATTTAGATGTGATCTTTTTGTTTTGTTTTTTTCTTTTTGGAACTCAGGATTAGTTCTTTTTTTTCCTGATGACTGATTATGTATAGGAGTATTTAAATTCTATATTATTTGTTACTGTGAATTGTTATCAATGTAGAAATTGTTTCTTGGTAGTCATGATTTCTTGGACATTATGCTGTTTAAAGGGAGCAATAATTCATTGTATAATGAAAATGTGGAAAGTAAGCCTTATGTAAATGTAACAGGTATATTTTTCCCTTTTGAAAAAATGTATATGGATAAAGTGATGTAGAATGGATGTTAAGTGTATATTTATATTTTATTGTAATTTTAGAGTATAAATAACAATATAAAGATATTAGGTCATGTTTCTTATATACTCAGCCTATTAGTACGAACATTTTTCTTGTATAAAATTTTCCTGTGTACGCAGACCGCTTATTACAAAATAAAATACATGATTTCGTTAATAAAGTAATCAATACTTTTTATAGGTGGGTTTATAAATATAGATGATATATTTAAATGGAAAAAAAAATATAAATAAATATATTTTGACCAATGCAAGAATGAAATTTAATAAAATTATATTTAAATATAATATTGTCATTGTTAAATAATAAATAAATAAAACATTATATTTCTTCCATTTGGTTTCTTCCATATTTTACTAAAGATGAATTAATTAAAGTTGGATAATCTTGTGGCATTTAATTTTAAAAATGAAGCCTTATAATACGCTTTTTAAAATACGATATTTTGTAATAATTAGAGTTTTATATTTCAACCTTTTTATGGCAGATATGAAAAATATTTGTAATTCATTGCAAAATATGTAATGATGTGGCATGCAGCACTAATATATTTGGTGTTGGTGCAAATTCTTGATGTATTTTGTAAAATGGTAACAAACTTTGTGTAGCTCTAGTCATGGCACTGATATTTAATATGAAGTTTTGTATATCAAGGTGAAATGTTGTAGAAGTGGTAAAATGCAAAAAAACTTTCACTTTCAAAATAGTGTCAATGTTTTAATCGTGTTTCTTAACTACAAAAAATAGAATATTTTAATGGCTTTGTACAATATTCTTTAAAAACTAATACTTATAACCATACTTATAATTTGGCTTTCATTGAAGGTGTATATTTCTTGGAAATCATTGTATACTAGTGTACGTAAATGTGTACCAATAAATGTTAATATTCTTAAACATATAAAATTGTATAAATAGTTGTATGAAATGTTTTTTGTTATTTTTTTTTCTTGAAACCAGAATGTTATATTTGATATGAGATAAGAATTTATTCCAAAATGGCAATTGGTAATTATTTTATCTAAACATTTTTATTTAAAATTATTTCTGGTTAGGGGCTGTGAATAGAATTATATCTATAGTAGAATTACGTACGATACTGCACATGGGAATCATATGGTTGTATACTACATGGTCTGATCTCTCAATTTCCTTTTTAAATTATATTTATTTTTAAAACTATTGAGTATAGTTAAAAGTCTTTTAAAAATGTGTCAATTAAAAAATTACATTTTTTAAATACTACTTAAAGTAGATGGAATTGAATGTAAAACCAAATATAATTTTCTTCTCAAATTTTATGATTTATCATGTTAATATGTTAAGTTTTTAATATTCCCATAATAAATTTATGAATTTGTATCAGAATATTTTATTTGTGCAATAAAATGAATGGTTTATTTTCTAAAAATCCTCAGTATTACAGTTTTATTATTCCTCATCAGAACATTAGGTAGATGAACTGAATAGTTTTTGTGATTTTATACTTAATCCTTACCGATTATTATGAAAACATATACCAGCATCTTTTTGTAGGAACTTTATTCTCATAACTCTCAGTTCAAATAGTTAAGTCAGATTGAATGTGGAAAAACTTCAGACTGTAACGATTCATCATCATAGTTTAAGTGATAACATTGGAATAGAAAAAGACTCTTTTCTAAATCGATTTCTCTTGTTCTGTTTAAAGAGATCCATTTGTCTTGTTCTTGCACCAGCTGACTGCATCTATTCCAGTTCATTCCTCTTCTATCGAAGTCTTCTCTGACTGAACTTTCTGGGCTCTTGACATTTTTCCTTCTACTATCACTTCATACATGATTTTAACCATTATTTCCTTCTACATTCTTTTTAAGTGGCCAATCTAGCATTTAACAGTTAGTTTTACTCCCAGATGGGTTTTTTATCATTGTATTTCTGATTCTGTCTCTTCTCGTTTTTCCCCCTTTTCTCCTCATAAACAGTATTTCCATTGCTTGAAGTCAGCATAATTTTGCTGGTTGGGCTATTCTCATCCATTCTGGCTACATGACCTGCCCATTTGAAACGCTGTGATCTAATCTACATCCATATCATTATGTATGGCAGCCAGTTCTGCATTACTCCGCCTTCTCCAATCGTTACTTGAGCTCACTGGTCCATAAATGCGGTGTATTACTTTCTATCTCTCTCAAAAATATATTGACCATGCATTATTAACCAGAGACCAGGTTTCATATTTTTTTAAGCCTTGTAAACCTTCTTCAACAGTTTATATTATGTTTCATACAATTTAAAAACAAATAAAGTATATTTTTTAAAAAATATTGGGAGGTTATTACATGTTTTCAGTTTTTGCATTATATTTTCATATTGAATAATTGTTTATTTAATTACTTTTTCTTTATTTAGCCAACAAAGCAAATTTATATTTTTTTTAACAAAGGGAGAGATAGAGAATAATCATAAAGAAAGTATTTTAACAATTAAACAAGAAATTCAGTAATGAATTTTGATGTAGGAGGGCAACTATTACAATAAACGAAGACTTCTTCATCAACCTTTTTTGGAGACAGCTCTGATGAAGACCTGAACTTCAGGTTGAAACGTCAGCAAATATCAAAATAAATATTATCATTTATTTTTGCCTTCTTATTTGACTGATCACCTCAACTATTCTTCTCTTCATTATTCATGACAGTCGACCATTTACCCACAATTATTACAATAAACCTATTTATTTTGCAATACTGAGGACATCATAATTCCCTAAATATGATTACTCACATATTACAATGATCCAAAACCCAACAATAACAAAAACTAACCTCCATCATACTGACAAATCAGAGTGAAAATAATACCAGATCACATATTTGGATTTAGAATACATACTCAACTATATAGAGTGATGTATAACAAATAATATTTAATGTTTTAAAATCTACTTATTACTGTGTTTACAAACAATTTTGTTCCTTGTAATTTTATCACACTCAATGTACCATACTTTTGGTACTGTTTCAAAAGATATCAGCTGAAATAGCATTGCTTAAATTTTCGACAACACAAGAGAAATCGTAAAGCAGTCTTGTAATATGAGAGAAAGAGTAGCAAATCAAGTAAATTCCCATGTTATAACTGACATGTCTCATGTAGCTAATAGAGTACTAAAGGTTCCAGCCAGATCCTTTTTTTATTATAAACCCCTCCCAATTTCAAATAGAGAAAGTAGTCAATGTAAGGAATAAACAATATACTTACATTTTGAAATATACTTAAATTAATCCTTAATAAAAAAATCTCCAAGTGCTACAGGAAGAATTACGACTGCCAAACATGGAGTAAAAATAATGATAAGGAGAGGAAAAACCAAGTAATTTGACTGGATAGATGGTGAAATCGGGTTGATATTCCCCTTGCCCGAAAATTAATTTATCTCGAAACCTCAAATGGAACATACCAATCGACCTCAACGATGACGACCCCAGAACTGTGTAAAGGACTTTAACCTCAGAACATGGAATGTTTTAAGGTTGTTTAGACCCGGAGCTCTACATATTTTAAATCTGTAAGTCCTAGAATCTGCGTACTTCAGATCAGAGGTAAATTTAGGAACTATGGCATCATTAGCGCGCACGCTCCAACTGAGGTGCCATCGAGGAATATCGATGAAGAAACCAATGATAAGTTTTATGACCTGCTTGAAAGAAAATATGACCTATGCCCAAGATATGATGTCAAAATCATCACAGGAGACATGAATGCAAAAGTTGGGCAAGAAGAAATCTACCGATCTACAATTAGATATTAATAAATATATTTCGCTGCCTCACACAGACTTGTGATAGGAGGAACTTTCTTTGTGCACAAAGATATCCACAAGGGCACCTGGACCTCCCTGAATGGTGAATCAGTTAACCAAATCGTCCATATACTCATACCATATACTTGGCTCATTTAGAGGAGCCAATATGGACTCTGATCACTTTTTAGTAATTGTGCACGTTCGAGCCCGTATCTCAAACGTTAAGACCAGATTGCCCTAAAAGACAAAAAAGTGTAACACTGATGGTCTAAGATCAGAATCGACTCAGGAAGATTTCGCTAAGGCCATTGAAGACATGCTTTGAGAAGTGGAGATAGATGAGACTAATGCTATAGACTTTAAATGGGATGAATATCGCAAGTTAATCAAGCAGGTGGCTGAGGATATCCTTTGAGAGCGAGTGAGAGAATCCAGAACCCACTGGCTCGATGAGGAGTGTAAGGTAGCTACGGAAAGAAAGAATTAGGCATATAAAAGAATGCTCCAGAGAAGAAGTACACGAGCCTCTCTCGAAGAGTACCGCTGACTGAGGAGGGAAGAAAACGTCTCCATCAAAAGAAGAAGAGGAAATGGGAGAATGATAAAAGTGCATCGATAGAAAGCCTCAGGTTTGATAATCATGTCAGAAAATTCTATCAGGAAGTTAATTTGGGAAGGAAGTCATTTAAGCCAAGGCTTACTGGCTGCAGAGCCGAGGATGGATCTCTTCTAATTGAATCAGGTCAAATATTGACAAGATGGAAACAGTATTTTGATGAACTCCTGAATAGCAATCATGTAGTAGAAGGCACTGGAACCTTTATTATAACTCGGACAGCAGATGATAAGCTAGAAACCCCCGATGATGATGAGATGATATTTAAGTATGGGGGAGGTACCCTTAGGAAAGTGGTACATGAACTGATCCTATCTGTCTGGTTGAAAAAATCGCTGCCTGTATCCTGGCAGAGAACTATTATTTGGCCTATTCAAAAAAAGGGCGATCAGCTGGACTGCAATAATTACAGAGGAATATCTCTTCTCCCAACTGTGTACAAGATCTTTTTGCTCATTTTGTTGAGGCGTTTTCTCCTATTCGCTGAGACAGTAATTGGTGACTACCAGTGCAGTTTCTGTTAGGGTAGATGTATGACGGACCAGATCTTCTCCCTCAGAATGATCCTTGAGAAAGGAAGAGAGTATTCACTACCAACACATCACCTATTCATCGATTTTAAGGCAGTCTATGACAGCATTAACTGGGAACAATTCTATAATGTGATGGATGAGGAAAGCAGTAACTCCTCCTGGCTTGATATCTACATTAATCCTTAGGCAAGGAGGTTCCTCATCCAGCTCCTCTTCAACCTTCTATGCATACCTGCGTGTTACCTGACATGCATGCTGTGGCCATGTCATTTATGAGTTTGTTAGGCTCCCTCTCTTTTTTTTATATCCCTCCCTATCTCTCTCAAAAATATATTGATCATGCATTATTAACCAGATATATATAAATATATATATATATATATATATATATATATATATATATATATATATAGTAGAGCCACTTTAGTCTCTAAAGAGGCTGAGTGTGCCCAACAAAATTTCATTTTATGTTCCGTTTTATTCCCTGCAATTAGATCAGTGTTGTAAAAACAAGACTAAGACTTTACTGACTCGTAAAGGCTCGAGTTGTGAAGGCTTGGCTCTAGGACCTTTAAACCTCGGACCTCTAAAGCTGGAGTTGAAGGTTCATAGAGTTCTAGCCTTTATAAATTTATTTTTTTTAAATATATATTTTCGTAAACAAATATATTTTTTTTGTTAGTTGTAACAATGTTAATATATTCCCAAAATTTTCGGTGCCCCTCTCAGCAATATATTATGAGTAGCTGGGTGATACTTCATTTTACTGTTGTTTTTTTTTTTGGTGGGGAGGAGGGGGTTTAACCCCTAAATTTATTTTTAAAGATGAATTAGCAATATGATCAGGTATGTGGGCGTTACTTTGTTTTTGTTTTTTTGGAGAGGGGAGAGTTTATCCCCCCTCTGAATTTTTATTAAAAGATGAAATTGTAATATGTTCGGGTAGGTGGGTGATACTTTGTTTAATTTTATTTTTGGAGGGAAGGGTTAATACCCCCTCTGAATTTTTTTTAAAAGATTAAATGGCAATATGTTTGAGTAGATGGGTGATACTATTTCAATTTTAATTTTTTATTTGGAGGTGGTGAATATTTCCCTCTTCATTTCCTTTCTCCCCTGAATTTTTTAAAAGAATGGTATATTGGCAATATATTTCATCTACCCAAACTATTTTTTCCTTTTAATTTTTTGGGGGGAGAGGAGAAACTCGATAACAATGGAGGAACAATAGGTGCAGATCAACAACAAACCGAACTTTGTTTCAGTTAAAACTATAATTCAAGGAACCGCCAAAGATGTAATACTACTAACAAACATCAGGTATAACAGTTTACTCTACTATAAAAATCTTAAAACAATTTAAAAAGTTCATTAACAAACATATGGTAAAAAATAAATAAGGTTTGAGTCACAACTCGAGCCTTTTACTGGCAAGCTCTTAAGACTCGGGTCTTGGCCGAGTCGGAAAAGCTCGAGCCTTTTCGGCCTTTATAGCCTTCTCACCAAGCTATTTTACAACACTAAATTAGACGGACTTGAAGAATTATATTTACTCCTGTTTGAGAAACTTTAGTCTTTATAAAGGCTGAATGTGCCCGATAAAAATTTTATTTTTTCTTATGGTTCTTTTTAGTTTCCTACAAGAGTGCCCGATTTTTTTTATTGTTTTTTTGTTTTCCTACTCATCTCAAGGCTCAAATCCGGCTAACCACAAAAAAAATCTAAGGAGGGCATAAGAAAAAACAAAACAGTAATCGGGTACACTCAGCCTCTATAAAGACTAAAGTGTCTCAAACAGCAGTAAATATAATGTCTCAAGTTCGTCTAATTGCAGGAAATTAAAAGGAACCATAAGAAAAAATGAAATTTTTACCGGGCACATTCAGCCTCTACAAAGATTATAAAGTGTCTCAAACAGCAGAAAATATAATGCCTCAAGTCTGTCTAATTGTAGGAAATTAAAAGGAACCATAAGAAAAAATGAAATTTTTACCGGGCACACTCAGCCTCTACAAAGATTAAAGTGTCTCAAACAGCAGAAAATATATTGAGTAAATATAATATTAAGGTGGTCGGGCCCACTCAAATCTTGTGAGCTGGATACCTGTAGGTATTGGGCGAAATATGCACCCTATAGTCAATGTCACTGAGGGATTAGAGGTTGGTCGGGTGAGATTATATTATATGTATAAATATTATATGTTTGCTATATTGGTGAATTTTTTATTTTATTGCAGTAGAGAGTTATTTCAGAAATAATTATTTCATGATTTTTTGTAATAATTTATTTATTTATTGGAATAAGAAAATCTGAAATAATAATTATTTCTGAAATAACTCATTTTGAAATAAATTACTTTATTTCATCCAATGTTAAAATATTGAAATAATTAAGTACTTATTTCATTGAAATTTTGAAATATTATTTTAGAAATAACTGTTATTCTGGGAATAATTCATTCATGAAATAATCATATGATTTATTTCAGAAATAAATTATTTCAAGAGTGCAAAGGTCTATTATCTATGGAACTGGACCAGAAATTATTTACAACTGTCATAATTCTGGATGTTGCTGAAGGATTTGAAAAAGTTGGGTACCAAGGTCTTCTCTTTAAACTCAAGATAATACTTCTACCTACCTGCTATCTAATTTTATAATCCTTCCTTTCCGACAAATTTTTCTCCATCTAACACTGATCAGAACTATCTTCCATCAGGCTTATCTCAGTTGGAGTTGCCCAATGTTTAGAATTCGCTCCATTACTCTATATTACCTCCTAACAAACTCATAAATGACATGGCCACAGCATGCATGTCAGGTAACGCTGTAGAAGGTTGAAGAGGAGCTGGATGAGGAACCTCCTTGCCTAAGGATTAATGTAGATATCAAGCCAGGAGGAGTTACTGTTTCCCTCATGCATCTCATACCATTATAATATATTACTTAAAGAGTTACTAAAATTTAAAACTAATTACAAATCCTTTCAAGTTAATAAATGAGGATTTTATCTATGCGTGTTGTGTTTTAGTAGAAAAAAAAATTGGACAAGTATCAACAAACACCAGTAAGTGTAAAATTTAAATCCAAATATTAAAGTAAAGACTTAGAAAACTAAAATATTTCTGTACTAAATAAAAATATTATTTTTTTAAAAATTAATGTACCTGGAAATTTTTTTCCAACTATTGAAAATTTAGGGAATTTCGTTCCAACTGTTGAAATTGTTTAGAATTTAGTTAGTTCCTACTATTGAAATTATTGGAATATTTTGTTTTAACTATAGAAATTGTTGGGAACTTTTAGATCCTCCCTCTAGCGGTTTAGTGCAGGTCAAGCAAAGGGAACATCTACCCAAAGTGGTATTTTAAAAGAGGCGGATAAGTCCCTAGAGCTCCCACTCTGCGAGGAAATGAAGAAAAAAAATTTTCATATTAAAAAATAAATTGTGTTTCTATTTTTAATATTATGGAATTTATAATTATTTTATTTGCAATAACTTTTTAATAAAATATTAAATAATTTATTATCTATATGAATTATTGAAGGAAGCTAGTTGACTGTTCTACATATCATGAGTAATAAATAGTCAGTTTTTTTTTATAAATATATTATATGTTGTAAGGTTACGTTCCTTTTGAAAAGTAAACAAAACAGTTTCTTAATCAAATAATATTTATTTTACACAATAATTAATTCTTGGGTTGGGTTGAGACAACAAACACACATCCTCAATTATATAATATATATATATATATATATATATATATATATATATATATATATATATATATATATATATATAAAACCATGCATTAATTGTACATAACATTTATGAATTTTCAATGTTTGTCGAGGTCTACTCTTGGAGTAGTTTCGATGTGTCACTATTTAAATTTCACTCACCCTGTTCAATCTTCTAATCTTCCTTTGTTGACACTCACTACTTGTTAACTCACATTTTCTTTTCTCGATCCTCTTTACTAGCCGGTTGGCTGGCTACCTTCCTGCCCCTGTTTAGCTCTTCTTCCCCTACCATCTGTCATTCTTTGTCCATTTTTGACAGTAGTTCATGAGGTCACTACCTTCGCGACACTATTCAAAATCACTATGTAATATTTACATAACAAAGTATTATTTTTAGTTTGTATAACTTTTTATATATTTTATTTTTAATATTGTGTATTGTAATAATAGTTTAGATTCATGTACCATCAATCACTATAGTTTATTATTTACCATTATTGGTCGTATAATATTATATCTCTGATTGTATTTTAAAATTTTCAGCCCTGAAGATGACCCACATGTTTGGGTTGAAACGTTGGCACAAATAAATGAATTTGTATAATGACTGTGTCCTGACTATTTATTACCCATATCATGTCATATACTATATGACATATAGGTAATACATATAGTATATGTATTTTGAATAAAAAATAATTTTAAAAAAGCTAAAAATAATTTTAAAATACCAAAAAATTCAATTAATGTAGTATATGTAACACAGGGATGCAAACTTAATCCAGATTGAAATTATTAATATTATTTAGCTAAACAATGTCCTTTTTATATTTATTCCTGACGTTATGTATGGAAAACCTTAAATAATTTTTTTAATAAGCAAATAAAAGCTTTATTTTATTCTGCTTCATAATCTGCTTTTACTTCCATTAAAAATTTGTTTGCCCTTGAGAAAATATTAAGGAAAATACTTCAGCGCACTTGAAGACAATGGGTAAGAGTATAAGCAAGTTTAGCATTCTATGGAAATATGGTAGCTAATTAATATCATATTCCATGTAAAACATTATCATACAATATGAAATTAATGTCATACAACTTATTTAATCACTTCAATATTCAGTTCAACATTTAGTAATTTTTTTGGAATGGCTATCGTTCAGCAGATTTGAGAAAAACCATGGAATACATCATCATCTAAACTTCTAAAGTGGAGATGAAGTGCAATTTAAAAAAAAGCATATCTAGTGACAAAACAAATATACAGTGTATTGTGAAAAAATGCTTCTTCAATTTATTAATAGGATGAAAAACAGTACTACAAACATGATTTTGATTTTTTACTCTTGCTCTATTTCTATAAGATGCATAACATAAAGATCTAATACCACTTTCACAAATATTTTTATTAAGGGTGTAATATAAAGAATAAATTTAATCACATATATTAACTAATGTGTGGATAATTAGTTTGTTGGATTAATTATTCAAAACAATAAGTTTGTTTTCAAATATTATTGTGGAAGTTATTTAGTAAACTGATTTTTTAAATTAATTTTTGTACTGTCCTCAAACACAGAGGTGCCCAACCTTCCTGAATTCATGTCACATGGTCCCCCAACCCAAGATATTTTATTGCTCATATTCTTAAAATCAGTGTGATCCTGTTGATCTAACATAAACCTGTGATCTAACATTGGAAAAATGTGTAGATTATGTAAAATTACACTTTCTGTGTTTGTTCAATATTTTCCCCCTTGTTCTCTGGTTTGAAAGTTTCTCCAAATCGAAGCCCACTAAAAAATGGATTCTTATAAATATTTATAACCCTGCTGAAATGTGCCCCCCTCAAAAATTATAAATGTCATAAAATATGTCCCCTCAAAAATTTTGGTTTTGAAAAAACTATGAAATCCACTTCTGGGCACCCTTGCTCAAACATCTCTACCATTTAAGAGTCTTTAATGTTTATTTAAGGGGTTATTTAAGAGTTCTCTTGTATATAGTAAATAATTGAAGGTTTAAAAAAATTAATCAATTACAATATATAATGTGTATGTAACTATCCTAAAACTGTAGTGTTATAGATACTTGAAGCTTGAAATATATTATTTCATACTCACTTTCAGAGTTTCATTTAATTGTTAAAAATATTGTAGGAGCAAATAAATAAGAATTTATTTCTTACTAAAAAGATAGCACTTAAAAAAAAAAAATTATTCCCTTTAAAAAGTCAAGTTCTGTAATTAAGACTTATCCAGGATTTTAATTCAAGAATTATACTCTTATTCAGATAAATTATTTGCCTTAGATAATGATGAGGAAGGAATTCTGAATCAGAAAATTCTAATTTTATGAATTTTTATTCCATATATTTTATAATTATAAAAATTCTGTTAATATCTGTGGGTTACATTAATTTTGACAAATATTTCTTTCCTAAAATTGCCCTTATTAGTATTACAATTGTTATGTAGAAGATAAAGTTCAAAAATATAATACAATGGTTAACAATCGCAATTAAATGATGTGTGAGGTTTTTGCAAATGCAATTTTAAAAGTAATGAACTCCGGCGCTAAAATTAAATTACCAGCTGTTTAATTTAAAATTAAATATATGTTATTTATATTATAACAAAGATTAAAAACGTTTGTAGGCAATATTTAGATAATATCCGCCAGGTCTATTAGGTTTTTAATATCATCAATGGCTTTAATTATAGGAAGTTATTTGATAGAACGTGGCCTGGCGACGACAGCGCTCCTAGCGGCTGGGTATCAGTTGGATTCGAATGTTAACAGTGGCCGTGTTGGTCAGAAACGCATCCTGATGGCGGTACTTAAAACTTGAGAGTATCAACTGACGTTTGTCGATATTTTGATAGTTCGGTTTTCTCCGATTTTCGCCTGTTCGGTAGTTCGATGAAGAACGAAGGCTGAACATTTCAATAGTCGCTGAATACTTCTACGTTGTCGTCAGTGTGTGATGACATTTAAGAATCAGCAAATCACAGGTAGTACACATCTATCATGGCGCTCCCTACCTGTATTCTTTTATGAAATTTACCTGTTTTTTAACTTGTATAATCAAATTTAAACATAATACTTGCTAGTGCCAGACTGTTAGATATTAATTACTTCTGTACTAAAGATTCGTTTATTGTTGAAAATGTCATCGCTCCATTAAATGTTGATGTTACTTTTTAACCTCTTTGCGTGTTGTCCCACCTGAGGAATGTCATAAGGTGAACAATTGACATTTTCACATTAATCGAATTATATTTTGGTTCATATTTTCATTTCGCTAATAGATTTAACTTAGATTCAAATTCTTGCAGTTCTGCTCTGTTATCTAAAACACATTCTTCATAATTTAAACCATATGAGTGAATTAGTTTTCGTTTTCATAAATTATTAGTTCATTGCTAATAGTGAAGTAGTGCACATTTTCTAATATTGGAAATATTGGCGTGTGTTTCTTCAGCTGGATATTAGCTTTTCATGAGGTAAGATATTAAACATTTTAAAGAATATTGTTTCTTCTAATGATGTTACAACTGCTTTGGGACATTTTGCTAAATGCTTTAGTTCAATTACATGTGTGATTGTTGTGCCAGTTTATCATTTTATGTTTTATAGTGTTTAAAACATTAACTCCCAGCTGTAATTTTAATGTCATTATGTCTTCTGTCAGAGAATGAATGAGCTGTAACAGCTAAGGACTTGTTTTCATAGTTAAAAGTTAATGGGATTTGGTAAAAGAAGACAATAAGGTTTAAGATTTTTATACTGAATACATAGTTTAATTTGACGGTATTATTTTTTAAATAATGGTATTAATCACTGATAGTCAATGAGAAAGTATTTTAAAGAAATCATTATTCAATTAAGTTTACTTTCTGAACTTATCAATGCTTTTTATAATTATTTGTGAAACTTGACTTCTATTGCAATAATAAACCTAACTCAGTTCTCTGGTTTTATTCAGCTAGTATGTTCATATTCCATATTTAATGAATTTTGACAATTGCAACTTTAAATATCTGCTATTTCCTCTATTAATTTACACTCAATTGAGTCACATAACAAATAGTTTTCCTAAACATTAAATGATTCAGCACACTGTAATTTATGTACTAAAGCAAACTATTGTTCCTAAAATAAATCATGACCTTCAACATTTGATTATAAAGGTCAAATCGTTATGTTTTTCCTTTCATGTAACTTTCTTTGTCAAGCTATCAATAGTCCTCTATTATTAATATTTAAAACTCCAAACCTCTTTTATTGATATTATATTCAAATATGTTTCTGGGGTATATTGTTAAGAATTACATATTTATTATGTAAATAAATTTATAATTGTAGTCATGATCGTATGCCGTTATTTTCAGTATTTAAGAGTTGTAAGTTATAACATGTGCTAAATAATGTGGTATCGTCATTCACATACCAAACAACCTCAAGAAAAAGTGTATGGTTGGTGTATTTAAATTGGCTTGCATTTGTTGTATCCTGAAACATGTCTGATTTGCCTATACAACTAATTTGGTGACTATTTGTAGTTGTTAAGGACTAGTAATCAGCAGTAACAAGTCAAGTAGTAGCCAGTGTCTGGAGCTGACATTAAATTAATATATTAAAGTAATTATAATGAATTGTTTTTGATCGATTGCAAAAATTAACAAAGAATTTTAGAATGATTTTTTATTCAACCCTGAATTTGTAACTACATTGTTAGTGGATGTGATACTAAATATTAAATTTGTTTCACGCTAGAATTATTGTCGAACTGTTCTGCATACTTTTAAAACTTGAATCAAAGAAGAATAGCTGTCAAATTTATTTTAAAGATGTGTGGATCCGTATGGGTGGATTTCACCAAAAATTATAATTTTCTTGAAATCTACTGCCGAATAATGTGCAAAAATATTTGAAATTATAAATTACATTCCTACTGTTATATGTACATTTGTAGTTACAATCCTTATGAACAATTATACATAGTGGGGTAGTGAAATTTTCCAGATTTTTATGACAAAAGAAAATTGTAGATAAGACTTATCCAAATGATAAGAATGCAAATATCTGAAAAAATAATTTGTTAAAAAAATAATAATTTGATCATTCAATATAACTTGAAGTAGATATAAATTGGTAGTGTAGTGATGAACAATAATTTTTAGTAAACCAAATAGTGTTAAGCTAATTAACAACCTTTATTACTATTTAGAAATCATGGTAAAAACAATGAAACAAATACTAGCAGAATAGTTCAGTAAATTAGGTACTATGTTCCAATGGTTTACGGATCTGGGTTCAAATTCGACTGTGGCAGGTAATTATTTATTCTGTTACATCTGTCATGTAACCGTTGAATCAGGAGACTCTCTTGGGGCACATTCAGCCTCCATAAAGTGGATACTTTTAATGAAATAATTAATTAATGTAAAAAATCTTCTGGTGAGCGTCCCAATCACCTCCCTGCACGTCAGTTAATCTTGAAACCGTACTAAATCCAAAACCCTCTATAGGTTTTAGTGGTACAGGTATTAGTTTTTTTTTCAGAAATAATCAATATTTTTAAGTTGATTTAGGGACTTTTGATAGAATACTCTTCAATTCTCTTCAGTAACTTGTTTTGGATTCATAATTATTTAAGCTATTGAATTTTTTACTTAATTGTGTGTGGAGGATTTTGTTATTTTATTTGTCTAGGCATATCACAATTAAGAGAAGAAATGGAAAGTATGTCCATTCAGCTTTTTCTCTTCTTTATATATATATTTTTTTAACTGGCTAAAAGTTTAGTTTATATTCTCTTAGTTTACTGGTCTTGAAATTTCTTGTCAGATGTCACTACAAACTGCATGGAGGCAAGGCCTCTTACAGCTTTGACTCCACGCCATTCCTATCCAGGACTGCCACTTTCCAGTTCTTTATCGCAAGAAGATATTCAGAATCTACAGTTATAGCATCTATTTGCACACACAACTTTGGTCTTCGTCTCCTTTTGCCTAAGATTTCTTTCAGGAGCATATTTTTTGAGACCTGATCTTCAGAATTTTTTTCGACATGTCTAGCTGATATGTGTTGGCTTACTTTAACAAATATCACTACACAAACATTTCCATATGTCTTCAAATTTTTTTTTACACATATTGCCCCCAAGATTCTCCTCAGAATCCGCTCCAATCTTAGCAAAGTTTATTCTGATTCGTGGTAATAGTCCTGCATTAGTGAGTTCCAGTCTCATTAGTATATTATATTAGCAGATCATAGTGGTTTGGAATGCTATACAGCTCTAGAGTTGCCCAATAAGTCCATGGTAGGATCTGTTGGCTATGACAATCCAGTGCTGAATATCATGGGTAATGTCATTATAGGAATTGACTTCTGACCCAAATAAATAAATTTCTCCTTTCTCTTGAATGGATGTGGTTCAATATGTTAGTAAAATTCTCCTCTACAGCAGGTTAGTTGACATGAATTTAATTTTGTATCATTGATAACGAGCTACATACTTGAAATGTGGAATATAGTGTTAGAATACTAGTAACGTATTAAGTTTTATCAAAAATTGTGACTAGAAAGAGATTCTGTTACTTATGGAACTGATTTGGATTGTTCTATTTTCTTTTTATTGCTTTTAATGACATCTTATTATCTATTTTAGGTTGAAAACTTCTGAATTATATATTCTTGTCACATATTGCTTTAATTTTTTTTTTAATTATGCCTTGCTTATTTTTAGTCCAATTCTTTTTAGAGTCGAGGTCCAATATTAAATCTGAAAATTTTTACATTGATTTAGAGAACAAAATGAAGAATGTAAAACAAGAAGTAGGATGTACATATATTTGATCTATTCATCAATTACTTATATTTTATATTTATTAATTTTTAGAAGGTTTTGGGCTGAGAATTTTTTTTTTTTTTTCTGTTTTCATTGATTAAATAAATATATGATAGTTTTTTAAGACTGAGTTTGATATTTTAATTTGCTCGAATATTTAAAACGATGTTCCCACATGTAATTTTCAGAAGGATTTATTAATAAATAATATATATATATATAAATAATTATAAATGAGAAAATACAAATTTGTGTCATTGCTTGTGTATTTTTTATGCAATATCCTTGTTTGTTTAATTTGATTGAATAAAATGAGTTTTGCGCTCTTGTGTTCTACCACCTTAGAATTATTTATTTGCTTTATATAGCTAATTTATATCAAATTCTCATGTATTTTTTTATGGTGCTAGTTCGTTACTTTCATTTAATAGCAATTTTATTTACTTAATCATCTAAATCCTACAGGACAAGTGTTTAACCCGAGAATGATTTAAAATAGAGAGGGAGATTGGGATCAATCTCAAGCACTAAAAACTAGCCTTTATCTGTTGGAATCCAAGTTTCTAATCATTTCTATTGAATTTAATCATGTTGTCACCACCATGTTGATGTAATGAATGTGATAAACTGGATTTTTGGAATTTTTACAAGAAGAATTTTCCTTAAATAAAATTTTATGAATATAAATATAAGACTCGCAAAAGTTATAAGATCCAGGGATACAAAAAATAGTTGCAACTGAAACTAAACAGAAAAACATGATTTATTATTTTGGTCTCTTGTAAAGTAGATATTTCCATATTTCACTCATCTGTTAGATTGAAAGGCGTTAAGTTTTGTGGAGATCATTTTCTCGTATCCATTTGTAACAAGTGTTGAGATAAAAATCACCGCAACTTCGTAGATTAAAGGAAGGTTTTTAAATTATTGCTATTTACTTAATGGATAATCAAACGTAGCTTCCCTCCTTGGTTCAGTATTTTTCAAAGAAACTTTGCCGGGTCTTGATGTTGCTTCGAAAACCTTCAAACAATTTGTCCCGTTTCGATCCATCGACATGATGTCAGAGTTTTGAAACCTTGTACTTTCATCAATGGCTTTTATTGAAGATTTAGTACGGATTTGAGGATCGTAATTGGGATTCGTCACCATTTCCAT